CTTCTCTACTTACATTTGTCTTTTTTATGGGTAAGCAGGCATATAAAGCGCAACTTCAGGCACCCATCAAGTTTATAAGGTCCATCTTATAAAGGCATTCTTCAAAAATAAGGTCTTTATAAATAACATTTTCATGTACAAAAGGATAGGTGGGGAACACATGGCAGGTAGGCATCAATATAAGTGTCCACAAGCACAGTGACACCCTCACAGATGTTACATTAACCCAGACCTATTATCTAGGGACTGAGTTGTGAATTAAGATTTTACCTGCAAGATATAGGAATAGCTGTCTTATAAATTACTCCAAGGTGATGCATGTGGAACAGTTTGCACATTCTAAAATTCTGAAGTGCTACGTAAGTGGTAAAACTGTAATATTTGAAAGCCTCTCTCCATAATTCTTTCTCTGCATTCAGATCTTTGCTACATTGCAACAAACCGTAAAGGTTGCAGGACAGCAGTCGTCGTACTGCAGTATATTTATTAGCTCCTGTGTTGTTATTGAAAAAGTATTTGACCTTGCTCACATTTTCTGAATTTTTAGATATCTTTGCCACTGAATGTAATCAGAGTAAGTCCAACTGATGGAGAATCTGACTAAACAAATAGCACCAAGTCTTGCTGCTTGTTTCACTTATCTCATAAAAAATCAACTTGCAATATAACAGTGTGAAAAAGTAATAATTCCTCAAGTTCAATTAAAGAATTTCTAAATCTGTATCATTATCACAAGATGTGGCTTTCCTCATCATGGTGAAGTTCCCACCACACAGATTCTAAAGGCACGTCATTCCACACTCAGAAGAGATTTCAGTTGAAAAAGTTAAAAAACATTTCTAAAGTTGTGAGGCTTCACCAATTCACAGTTGGAGAAGATTTGGGACCACAGAGAACTTTCCCAAGAGTTGTTTTTCTGTCAAAATCACTCCAACTGAACAGAATAAATTAGTCTAAGAAATATAAGGAAACCCAGAATAACATCACTTTTGCTTTAGCTTAAGTCAATGTTCAAGTCTCCATCACCAGAAAATGCTAGGTAAAAATGGAATTCAAGAGAAAATAAAAAGGCAGAAACCATTGCTCGTTAAGACATTATTGCTCAACTCAAGTTTGCCCAAAAGCTCCTGGATGGCCCTTCAGTCTTTTGGAGCAAAGTCTATAGTCTGATGAATCAAGAGTGGTACTTTGTGGGCTAGATGGGTGTCATTATGTTTCATGGAAAGCAGGCAATAAGACTTTCATGCCAACTTTCAAATATGCAGATGGTAGTTCCATAGTTTGGGCATGCTTTGCTGATTTAGGACCTGGATAATGTACAACATGATGAACCATGAAATCTGCTTTCTGTCAGAAAATTCTACAGAAGAGTATCAGGCCACCTACCCATCAGTTGAAGCACATGTCATGTAGCAAGATAGTGATCTCAAACATACAAGCCAGTCTACAGGAGAATGTATGGTGAACAAATTCAGTATGTTGGAATGGTCAAGTGAGAGACCCAGATCCCTGTGGGAGGACCTGAAATGAGCAATTCCTGCTAGAAAACCCTCAAGTATTATTGAGTTGGTCATGGAGCAGTGGGGCAAAACTCCTACACAAGATGTGAGAGACTGATAATCAATTACAGGAAGTGTTTGGTTGCAGTTATTGCAGCTAAAAGAGGTGTAGCCCGTTACTGAATCTAAGCGGGGAATTACTTTTTCACACCTGCACATCACATGCAGGATGAGTTTGTTTCTGAAATAAATGAAACAAGTACCAAACTTTGGTGTTATTTATTCACTCAGATTCCTTTTATCTAACAGTAGGACCCATATGAAAATTCAAAAGGGGGAGAATACTTTTTTACAGAACTGTACATACCCATAGTTTGCAGAGAAAGGTTGTAGTTGAATGGATTCCATATTTTGTTTATGATGCTTACTTTTATCAATCAAGAAATTGTTTAATCTATTCTAGGGGCTTGAATTTCCTGCCTTCTGTGTTTTATAATTTCTGAAAACCTAAACTCCCAGAGTGTAATTGTAAAGGAAAGATTATTGTTAAAAAGGACTATGTGGTTAATGCATTCATTTCTCCTTTATTTCCTATTTAATAAATAACCTGCTTGTGGTTTTCTCTTGCTGTTTCCAGCTTAATGTGAGATATTATGAAGAAACTGTTGACAATTTCTTAATAAAATTAGATGCTTCTATAAATTAAGTTTAATTAAAATTATGAAAATACAGCTTTCATGAAGCCAATAAACATATTGCATTGAATCATATCTTCATCAAGATTTTGACTAAGCTGAGGATCCATGCTTCATATTGTCATACAATGTAAGACTTTTACTACTGGCACTAAGTTATTAAATTCTTGGACTAAATGAGAAAGGATACCTATGTGAATCTTGTCACAACCGCTACCTTAAATAATCCCAATTCATATCAGCGCTATTGCAATAAAATATATTTACAAATTAATCCCGTTGCTCTATTAATTATTTGTGTAATTACTGCAATTCTTCCCACCTTGTTTTCAGTATTTCTTAATCATTAAGCCGGAAGCCTGACAGCAGTGCCAGCCCTGGCATGATTCTTTTTGACTAAAACCTTGTAAATTAACACAATTAGCACAGCATCATGCTGCTAATTAACTTCCTGTGTCTGGTACAGCGGATGTGCAAACAAGGAATAGGGATTCAGCGGGGAATAAACATGCCACTCTGTTGCCAAACTGTATGTTGTGTTCGGTCTAGCTCAGCAGGGCTAAGACAGTCATGCCAAGATGCTGGAGTCAGGCAAAGAAGAGCTAGATGAGTTGGGGAAGAAGTGCAAGCTAGGAAGAGTACAGGCTGTTAAGTGGAAGATAGGAGCAATTTATCAGAGAAGCTGTGCCATCCATGTTTGATGCATACCGAGCCTTCTTATCTGAGCATCTGCTCGAAATACCACCCGACAGTCATGGTAGCTTGGTAGGTAGAGCAAGAAATTATTTATTTTAGTGCGGCCTAAGTGTTAAAGGAATTTTTCTTTTAATGCTGATGAACTCTGCCTGCCTTGTGTGGTACAGGACCCAAGTACGTCTAAATTAAGATCATCTCCTCTCTTTTTGGTGTGCTCATTTTGCTGAAATAGTGTTGATCCTGTTCTGGCAGTCAGCATTCTTCCCGCCCCCCCCCCCACTTTTAGTAACTGACTTCTCTTTTCTCCTGCCCACCTCTTCCTATT